AGAAGCTGCTTGTGTTGGTGCTCATTGTTTACTGGCTGTCTTTTTGTAGGTTTTTAAGCGTCGGTTTTGTGCTGGAGGGACTAAGGATTCGTTTTCAGTCACTGCTGCCGTCTGATCATATCCTAATGACAACGTCTTGTGCCCTGCAAATTAAAAATGCGAAATTTACTTATAAATTTAGGTACTTCTAGCACTAAATAGTGCGATAATATGCTTCAAAAAATTATACACCTAGCAACAAGCTCATCGAATGCCCAGATGCCTATAGTCAGTGTCAGACGGAATGTGATGGGCAAATCTCTTAGATACGGGACAATGGACTCCTGGCTGAGACTGTTGTCAGGTTCGATAAGCGAATCTCTGTAAAACTTAAGTCCCGGCGGCTCAAGTGTGACTAGAGATAGCTTTATGAGAAACAGCAGTCAATCAAACTAAGACCATTGCCCGGGGGCAGGCTATTCGTCAGGATGAGTCGGGAAACGTCTCAGTGTCCTGCCTCAATGGTTTTAAATAATATAATGGTTTGTAAACTAATTTCAGATTTTAGGGACTTTTATTTCAATTTAATTGAGAAATTTCTTTGAGTTCGATTGGCATTTCATTGTCATTATAAATCGAAGAGAGAGTAATTATCTTTTATACAAATATTAGTGATTATAATTAGTCTTTTCTAAGGCATATTTAGTTCTGATGTTGATTCCCCTTACATACCCTTGCCGGGTACTATAATTTCAGTCAGAAGCTTGTAAATCAATCAAGGAATTATTTCAGACCCTATAAATCATATGTATTCTTAATCAGCATCAATAGGCGAATCTTTCTAGCCGTATCCGAGGGAAAATTATTTTTGGTAATTTTTTTCAAAAATTGATAAGGGGTAACATTATTAAAATTTTCAAAAATGGCCAAAATTTTTGATTTCTTAAAATTTTAAATACAGTATACAAATTTTTTTAACTAGAAAAAACTAGCACAGAAAAGCTTTCCGAATTGAATTTGATGCTTTTTTGGCTTAGTTATGACATTTTTAAACTTATATTTGTTTAAAAAATTATCACCTAAAAATGCGTTTATTTAAGGGTATATTTTCATTAAAAACCTAACATAACTATACAAATTATGGCTACCCGAAGTTAGTTTTCTTTCTTGTTAAGATTCTTTTAACATATTTTCATTTAACATTTTTTTTTAGTAAGAAACCTTCAAAATTCATTACGGTTTCTATAAATTCCGCTGGTAAATCACTTTGCTTAAGTCTCTATTAGATTACAACTTATTTGAACACTGTTAGCAACCCGAAACAGACCGTAAATTAAGCAGAAATAACGAAGAAGGTAGAGCGAATTTACCAAACTCGATAACCGTCGCCCTTACTGTACACAAACAGACTAAAACTAAAAATTTTAGAAAACGCCGGTCGTTCGGAACGCCCACGTCAAGATATACTTTGTGTTCATTTGATTTCCGATTTGATGTGCACGAACGATGCAGCTTAAACTGTTCACTTTTTGCGGCGATAAGATTACAGACGCCGTCGCTAGAGTCAAGTCGAGTAGTAAAGTGGTATGATTTCGGCAGCTTTGTTAAACGGCCAATACTACACAAGTGTATTGGGGAATCCGGGGGGCATGGGCTACTGCTCTTCGGCCCGAACAATTGTGACAAATATACCTGAACTTGAAGCAGGTAGCAGCAGATGCGAAAGACGAACCCGTGAGCGAAAAATCTATGGCCGACCTCTTATCTTTCGCCGTCATTGTCATTGAACTATCACAAAAGCAAGTTGTTTAGATTAGATTTACCCTGGTAATTACAGAGGAGGCAAAATGAGGGAGGCAGATCTGTCTGAATATATATATGTAGAGTCTATAATATAAAGACAAAGTGAGAAAGAGGCTGTGGAAATGGGTGATTCATTTATTAAGAAAATAATAGAAATTAAATTGCAGAAATAAAATTTATGAAATTAAATCAAGGGTTTTCCCCTAACAACCGTTTGCATTAGTACAAAGTGGTACTAATAATTTTCTTTGGGACAAAGGGCCCAAACTGATCAAATCATTTTTAAAACATTTTTAAAAGTTCCCTCTATTCAGTTCTGTGGAAATTGATCTATGTATAAATTGCAATATTACAACCATAAAACCAAGAACTACAACTTGAGAATACTATAATTTTCAACGATTACTTCTTGATCTGCTTAATTGAAAAAATATGTACTTTAAACCATGACAGCTGAAAATTAAACTGTGAAATTGAAATATTTGCCTTGTGTAGCCTATTCTTTGTCCAGTTCTCAGAGAATCAATAAACTCTGAAATCATATTCTCTTTCTTTGAGTTGTAAGCCGGTTTCGAGTGTCTTTAATATAGTCGAAATTCGTTTCTAGGAAGCCAGTCAAGTTTTTAGCTTTTAATTAGTTGATCACTTGTACAAATACTCCAATTTTCAGCACAATAAAATTGAGACTTTGTGTGTTTAGCTGTTGTTTTTTTTTTTTGAACGAGCCTTTTGTTTAACAAAAGAATAAAAAGGGTTTAAAAAGATTTTAAAACACTTGAGCGTCCTTTATCTTAATTGTGAAAAAAATCTTGATTCTGTCCGGAAATCCTGTAGATTTTATACAGAAACCAAAAACATCACATGTCACATTATAACAATTAAATTAATGTACACAAGTAGAGAGCATACAAGTCGTGGACAATAGATTCTTCTTCCTCTGCTGAGAACGAAGCTTTAAAGTTGATTTGTGGCGTCTTTTCAGCCGTTAACACAATACAATAATAACTATGTATAGCACACTTGACTGTTACTAATGCGGAAATTTATGCTCCGAGATCCGCAACTTGTGTGTGTTATCGCGCCGGTAACTAAGCTCGTTATGGGGGCGAAATCGTCTTCTACTGCCGTTCTTATAGACACAATATCGAAATGAAATGGTAGTCAGGGGGTTCCAGAAAACAAAGTGTTGCTAAGTTGCACATTACATGAATCATTATTGTCGCCAACATGCCGTAATTTTTCATTGGATCATCAAAATGGCACACAGATTATTTTGCACGCTGCACTAAAAATGAGACATGGCGGCCGCTCAACCAAGTGACTGAGCAATTATCAATCAGAACGTGCCGCACAGTTCGGTTAAGTGAGAAAAAATGGGTCCCTTGGGGCCGATAAGGTTTAGCGTCTGTCTAACCAAGATACAATCGAAATTCTATACTATACCCTGCACATATATATTTATAGCAGGCCTATGTAAATGCATAAAACAAAGAAATGATAACTGATATCAGGGAAGTACATAAGTTGTATTGTGTTGTGTACTTTCCCGATGGTCAAGCTTTTACCATGTAATATTCATTTATTTATCAGCAATGTAAACTACATTTTTCGATTTGTTTGGATCATATTGGAGACCACAATGAGGTGTATACAGAACCGTAACCCTTAAAAATTTCAATAATTATTTTTAAACAAGATCGAAGCCCCAAAACCTGTTTGCAAAACAAGTTGTCATTGCTGTTGTTGTCCGTCTACAAAATCTATTCAATTTTTTGTTGGATTTGTATATGTTTGTGGCTCTGATAATGGTTAATACACACATATGATTATAGTAGTGCTCGGCGCACAGATTTAAGATTAGATTCGAGTGCGCCGTACACATAGTTTATCAAATATGGCCGCTATTAGTGACGTGTGGGCTGATCATAATCTTGCACTAGGTTAGTTATAACGCTTTATTTTATGAGAAAATCGGAAGTATTTCAGGTAATTGAAGTTTCGCTTGAGTAACGAACAAATTACAACCAGTATTTCTTATCAAACTGGTTTCTGTTTTATTGAAAACCACATATTTTGCTTGTTATGATATTTTTTGTTGTTGTGGAGGACAACAATAAAGAGGAAATTGATAAGATAATTGAGAATGCATTTTATGCGGAAATCGGATGGCTATATTTAGGTACAAAAAACCATCTAAACTCCAGCATTTCTTATCAATTATGTACTCTTTTCCAATACACACTGCATTTTTTTAAAGACATTTTATATTTTTGTTTTTTTTTTTTTTTCAGGAAGCCGCAAAGGGGGAACAATGAAATATAAGTATATAGTACATAACCGATAAGCATGACGGGTTTAAAAACTGCCAGATGTATAGATTTATTTCTGGCGAAATACATAATATTTATTGTTTTTTAAAAATTTCTCTTTATGCAATATCTGTAAACGGGACATTATGCAGTTATTTTTACCGTGATTCAGCTTGCGGCAGGTACGAGGTTAACGTGCTTTTATCAAAGCCAATTTTATGATGACCGCACAAAACAATAACTTTAGCCTTTGTTGCTATTGACGTCCGCCTCGCGTTTAGCCGAATTGTTGCGATAAATTATTTTTCTATTGCGTAGTAAGCGATCATTGGCACCCGTTTTTTATTCTTCGCAGCAGTAATTGCATTTACTTTTATTTTGTGCACGGCGAAAGTTTGTTGTTGTACGTATGTTGCGTATGCACTTGACCCCGCGAAAGGTTTGGGCTCAATACACGTTGCCCCGCGAGTCGCTCAACTGAAAGTTACAAGTCGCCAAAATCACATGCATTTATACATTTTCGGTAAACAAATTCGTGCCGTGTGGAAAATGTTTACAAATACCAAGACCAGACCTGCCAACTCTTTGGGCCGAAAATGTGCTAAGAAAAGCTAGGATGTATTCGCGGATTTTCTGCATCACGATAACTGGTCGCACTGAAAGCTCGACCCTCAAACCAATGGCGTTGCCTTACTTCTCGAGGGAGTTTTCTGTTTTAAATTATATCCGGTTTAAACCCTTGAAATGGGCGACAAGTCCCCAAATAGATCAATTTCACAGAAAACGTTAAAAAACGGCTCATGACGATCATGGCCGTAGCCTTGCCAGACTGAAGAAAATATGTCACGTTGAACAGCTGATCAAAACACTCACGAATATTGATATCGATTTTTCATGAATCACCTGGGCTATCGAAAACGCTATCGCACACTTGACACCTCTAGTATTTATCAATAAAATTAAATTTCAACTTAAATTACTAGTTACTACGCTCCCCCACCCTTAATTAATGGCAAAATGCTAAGTACAATGCCTTTCAAGCCAGCGCTGCAGCAAGTGACGTCACTCAACTGAAACTCAACCAGACAAGAGCCACCAAGCAACAAAGCGCCGCAGCAACAAAAGGGAATCAATAACAAAAAGAGCGACGAAAACGCGTAATTTCGTGGTCAATTTGCATACATCGGACGGGGCAAGTCGGTCGGTAGGGCGGTTAGGTAATAGAGATAGCCACTCGACGACGCGCGACGCACACACCGCACAGGAAGATGAGTAAGCTGGAAACGGATTCGGACAGCTCAGAGGAATTTTTCGATGCCGAAGACACAACGCCCAATCGCCACTCTACGCTGAGGTAAGTTCTGCGTGTGGTATGTGCACCCGGAAGGTATTCGAGTAAACAATCTTGTTGCTTACAGTCGCAAGCTGCCGCCTGAAGTGGCCCAGGAGTTCATATTTCCCGATCCAGCTGTTCGGGTCAATGCGGCGGCCTCATCGGACAGCGATGCAACACCCATTGGCGCTGGAACGCCCGCCACCCGGAGTCCCACCAACAGCCTGGGTGCCCGGCTAAAGGATGCAGCAGGCGGCGGCGTCGCCGGAGTGTTTGCTGAGCCGAAGCCAGTTTCCGGATCTGTAAGTGGATTACATACGCTAGGGGCTCTCCGATCGTGGTCAAGGAATATAGTATATTCTATTCAAAATATGATTTATTTTGCTGTCCGTATAGATCAATATATATTTTTTCTTTTTCTTGTATCGCTTAGGTAGGTATACCGCACGATCTATATTTAGACAATACCTAGTTACTATCGGCTTTAGCCAGCTATAAAATTTTTAATTGCTTAATAAACGCGGCCAGTGTTATATCATTTTTGGAAGGGAATTTGTTAAAAGCCGATATGATTGATAGGGTTTATTTAGTGATTATATATAGATACAGCTCAGATAAATATACCTTTACATGTACGTTGCATTTCCAACCCAATTTAGACAAATAATTTTTCGTTTTTATATTTATTTAATGGGATTTTTATTAAAATTGGATTCAGATGACTTTTACTATTTATAAATTAGATTAATAATACCCAAAGTCTTCGCCCCCTTTAATTTTGTGTCCATATTTGTGTTCTTTACTTTCATATTTTCTCCGCCTCATTTCCAAAAAAATCAACGAACGAATATAAACTTCAAACCAATAAAATACATATAAATCGATAATAAAAATAAAATCGCGCATATAGTATGGTGGTAGACAGCGCTTTCAAGAACTGCGTCAGTTCATGCAGAACGATGAAGATGATAATCCAGGAAACACACTCACACCTGATTCTCAGGTATACATATCTTTCGTTATCCATCTTTAGTTTGTTTCTCCAGCTTTTGGCTTTTTGTCGCACACACATCGCTCTCCCAGTTGTATTTACTGACTTGAAACTCGAATTACAGAATAGCTCGACGGATGGCATTTTCACCAGCCGGTCGACGCATCCGTTTAAGGTCATCGAGACCGATACGATGAGCATACAGAGCATGACGTCACTGGGTCGCGTGGGCCGAATCTTGGCCGGCAGCATCGATCCCTCTGGTGAGTATACACTCAGATATTGCTTTCAAATATCAAAGCACGATTAACACTCTCGTTTTTATTTGTTTAACAGCCATTAGCATAGATCGCGAGTCGCTGGCCTCGTTGAATGCGCAGCAGCAAAAGCAGCAGGCACAGCAGCAGCAGCAACAGCAGGTACAGCAACAGGGACAGGCAGTATCCAATACCAATCCACCGAGCACTGGCAACACCTCCTCTTCCGGTCTGAATACGCCCAGGGTTTCGCCAAAGCATCAGCAAGGCAGCAAGGAGTCGGCAGTGGCTGCCACAATTGCGACAGGAGCTGCCAGCGGGATCATGCTGCAGGAGCCGGATGTGATAGCAAGCACCAAGCTTGCCCAGTCAAAGACCACGGACTCCATCACCTCAAGCGGACCTGTGGCGCCGCCGCGAAGAAAGAAAAATTCTCGAAACTTCTCCAACAGTTCCTCCTCCGAGCCGCAGGCCGACAATGAAGACACCGACAGTGACACGCGTTCGGTGAAGAGCGTCCAAGGTTTTCAGCAGAAGTTTGTCATGGAGTTTGAGAGTTCACTGAATGATGCATCTACCGCCTCAGCTTCCAACACCACCTTGACCTGCTCCTCCACGAATACGATCGTTTCTGCCTCGGCTTCGACTACGGCGGCGTCCTCGTCGCTGCCATCGACAAGTGCGATTCATATGCGTAACCTCGCCTCTTCGGTGACAATTTCCGGACCCAAATCCTCGCAATCCTTGGGCAGCAGCTCAACGTCGGTGCATTCGAAACCAAGTCCCTCGAATTCGGCGAAAAGCAACTCGGCACCGGGAAGGGTTAGGTAAGTACATCTTGTTGTTTTTATAATTAATTAATAATTATTATTTTCATTCCTTGCAGTTCCATTGATCCCAATCAGGGTCTCAACCTGTTCAAGGCCATTCAGGGTGGCTATGTGGTCAAGCCACGCGATGAGGCCAGCAACAAGGCGCAGGGTCCGTCCCAAGATGAAATCGAGCGCATCGAAAAGATGCTAATGGAGAATGCGAATCGACCCAAGCTGGCGGGCACAGGATCCAACAGCTTGGGCAGTGCCACACGGTGAGCTAAGGAAACAATTAAGCTTAATTCTTTATTTAATGGGCCTTTCCCTATCTAGCTATCCCGGTTTCTATCGCGTTACCAACGACAAGGAGCGGCGCAAGTCTGCTGGCGACGAGGACGTGCTCAAGCAGATGAATATCTATGTACGCACTCGCACCAGCTCGGGCAAGCAGTTAACAGACTTTGAGATACTCGAACAAGTTCCTGTGAAGAATTTGGACACCGGCGAGAACATGCCGCTCTCCGAAATGCGTTCACCACCCGTGCCTGAGGGCTGGAACCCGCTCTCGCTACACATCCTGAAACTGACCTCGCATCTGGAGGTGATCCAGAAGGAGTCGGATGAGGAGAGTGTTATTGGCATACCGCCCAGCATTGAGGGACAGGTGCCCGACGAGGAGGAGCTCGAGACGGAGGACGGGAGTCGCCTCAAAAAGAAGACGGCGCGAATTAAACGCTTTTTTGGCACCACCATGAGGAAGACTGTGGACAAGGCCAAGTCGATTGCATCGGAAGTGTCGCATGCGCGGCACAAGGAGGATGTGGCGGATATCGAGGATGCCATGAATCCCGAGCAGAATATCAAAATCAAGGCCTCGTCGTCCAACAAGGGGCCGTATGAGTTTACCAAGCTGCAGCATGTTCAGGATTTGAGTGGCGAGGACACCAGCGCTGTGTGGTGCATGAAGTTCAGTTCCTGCGGACGCCTGTTGGCCACTGCCGGGCAGGATAAGGTGCTGAGGATTTGGGTTCTTAAAGATGCCTATCCATTCTTCCAGGTAACTAACTGGCAAGCAAGTGATTTCCATAAATATAATGCTTTCTCTTCCAGGACATGCGCAACAAATACAATGCCGATCAAAAATCCTCGCCCACGCCCTCGCAGGAGTCCCTAGTTTCGCAGCATTCGGCAGAGGAAGCCATTGCCATGGCCACTGCCGCCGAGAAGTGCCCTGGTCCGTTCATGCCCAAGCCATTCTGCACCTACAATGGACACACCTCGGATCTGCTGGACGTCAGCTGGTCGAAGAATTACTTCATTCTGTCGAGCAGCATGGACAAGACTGTGCGGCTCTGGCACATATCCAGAAAGGAGTGTCTCTGCTGCTTCCAGCATATCGATTTTGTCACGGCCATTGCCTTTCATCCTCGCGATGATAGGTACTTTTTGAGTGGGAGCCTCGATGGCAAGCTGAGACTGTGGAACATACCCGACAAGAAGGTGGCTTTGTGGAATGAGGTCGATGGCCAGACGAAGCTTATAACGGCCGCCAACTTTTGCCAGAACGGGCAATTCGCCGTGGTGGGCAGCTACGACGGTCGCTGCATATTCTATAACACGGATCAGCTGAAGTATCACACGCAAATACACGTACGCTCCACCCGGGGCAAGAATCGCATTGGACGCAAAATCAGTGGCATTGAACCAATGCCCGGCGAGGACAAGATTCTGGTTACCTCCAACGACAGCCGCGTACGCCTCTACGATCTGAGGGACTTGAACTTGTCGTGCAAGTACAAGGGCTACCTGAACGTCTCCTCGCAGATCAAGGGCTCCTTTAGCCACGATGGAAAGTACATCATTGCGGGATCTGAGAATCAGTGCATATATATATGGAAAACTAATCATGATTACTCCAAGCTCAGTTCGGTGGGTTTTATAAATATTTATGTTTATAAATGCCTTGTTATAATGCTTCCTTCAATGCGCAGGTTCGTCGCGATCGCAGTGATTTCTGGGAGGGCATCAAAGCCCACAATGCCACGGTGACTTGTGCCATATTTGCGCCACACCCGGAGGCCATCATTAAACCCGAACCCGATGAAATCTCAATGGAAAAGGTAATAGTTTCAAATTTCTAGACAGGATGGGGTTAGTAAAAGTTTTATATCCTTGCAGTTGGCTCACAATCAGCCCGATCCACTCGTTGAGCAGCACAAAAAGGGCTGCGGCTATGTGCTGGTCAGTGCCGATTTCAATGGCGCCATCAAAGTGTTTATCAACAAGACGAAGCCGAAGCACAGCAGCTTACCATACACAGCCATCGCGGATTAGTCTATAGGTAGACGATGAAAAGAAAATAGAAGAGTAAAGCTTGTATTTTACTATATTATTTTTGTATTTGTGACATTTTGTATCATTAGTAACTAGTGCCGCCATCGCTTGACCCGTATTTAATTAATTACTAATTTCTATACCGCTTCGCCCCCCCCCCATTTGTTGATAATTGCTGCTGGCGCGAACTGTTTAATCTTACGCAAAATATGTTATGTATTTTTAACGCCCATTCGTGTGAATATGTGTATAAATATTTGTTTAACCAAGTTGATTATTTCGAAGGTCAATTGTATATTGTTATGACTGTACAGAATCTATGATTTAGATCCGCTCGATTAATTAATTACTCCTTCACGTTGATGTGTAAACTAGTTACTATATAACTGGCCAGCCCGCAGGGGCAGGAGGGATTCGGTTTGCCGAATCGTAACTAAGTTATTTTAAAGGTCTACGATCATAACATCTATATCTTATTATAATTAACTTTTAAACCATATATAAATATATATATTTTGTGTAAATTAAAAATGTGCAACCAGGATACAAACTGCAGCTTTAATTTAGCTTCCATTCTCGGAGAGATTTTGAAGTGCTTCACGATTAGAGAGTGCTTACAGCAACATTCCTTCTAGCACATACGATGGGGGTGGTCTCTGGTATTTAGCAAAAGCTTAACCTTCATATTTGGGGCTTCCCTTTGAAGCGAAGAGAAGAAGTAGACAACGTTCCAGGTAATTCGATATCTGGTTAGGGGAACTCGGCAGACATTTGTTAATCTCAGCACTCATAATTGCAGGCCAGTGGTGGCTGCAGTAAGACAAAGCAAAGGTCTAAGTGGTTCGGTCTGTCTGGCTTCTATTCCCAGAGTTTTTGGGGTTGACTTAAAAGCACCCCCGAAGACAGGCAATTTAAGCTGTCATTTGCTTAGAAATGACAGCAGTAAAAGTCGATTAAAAGCGGAGTTACGATTTAGTCTTACTTCTTTAACCTGCAATGTCTACGTTGGTATGTGAACCTGCATACATAACTTAGTACCTCTGCATTATATACGTATGTTGATAAGGGTGGACCGTATCCGTATTACACATTACTCATACGCACTGTGGTTCGCAGAACGCATGACTTTTCTTCATCTCAGTCTCACACATTCTCTGGTAAAAATGACTAAAGTCAATCTCATATTCTCACTTTCCATGGCTGAAAATATGTTTGTCTCCCACTAAATGAACCTCTTTGTATTGATATCTCACTTTCACCATCAATACTAAGTCTAAACATGCCCACAAAAGGTATGTGTTACATGTTCTCGTCGAAAGTAGAAATTTATAAACATATCCAATGTAGAAAATATCGTATAGTTTTATTTTTACGGAAGCAAGTCCACCCCATGCCACGTACTCGAGTACTTGCACATGCAATCAATAAAGATTTTATTTTTGGGGGGAGGCTTGGGGTGGCGGCTGTCTTTTGTCGCGATGCGGCAACCAACAGCTGTTGCAACGCCAGACGACCCCCCCGAAAAAAACCAAACAGCAGCCAGACGCCGGCAATGGAGGCGGTGGTCTCCCTCCCATATACACCCGTTCCGAATGGCAATCGATGCACTTCTGGCCATGTGCCAAGTTTCTCTTCGGGAAATGCGGAGAGCCAACAAAGAGAGGGAGCCCAAAAGAGATTGTTTCGGTTTTTGTTTTATTTATTTTGGTTACAAAGGTTAAACTCAAATTAAAGTTTAATTTGGAACTTTTTGAAATTAAAAGTTTATTTTTGCTTGTGGTTTTTATTAAGTTTTTTGAAGAAAAATTATTGATCAGAATGAACTGAAACTTAGGATACTCATACTTTTTTTTTGCTCTTAACGGGTGCTAAAAATTTTTAAATATTTTTTATAAATCTAAGGGTTTTTAAACATTTCTTAAGCTGATCATAATTTTTAAATACAAAATTTTTATCTTAGCACATTAATTAACTAAAATCAGCTTAAAATGTTATATTTAAAAAAAATTAAATTTAACGTAAAAGTAGTTTCTTTTTAAAAAATTTTCGAAAAACTCCATTAGATTTTTAGAGTACCTTAAAGTCTGCATATAATATTGAAATTTTAAAGTGCAGAGTTTTCGAGTTGTGCCGCGTCACTCATTTATCCAAGGCACCCACACTGCCGCACTCTTACACACACTCATACACCCTCTTACACACACACACACACTCACCGTGAGGTAGCAACAACAATGTTGAGCAAGGTGCGCTTAGCCGACGCTCCGCTCTCTCGGTTCGTGTTTTTCTCCGTTTCAGTTTATTTCTGGCTCTCGTGCAAAGCGCAACGTCTAGCGGACAACATATATCGTACCGTATCGTATCCGAATCGGCCGGACTTTGTCATTGTCTGCGTGCGTCTGAGTGTGTGTGAGTGCTGGCGCTGCGATGCGATGCCTTTAAGCTATTTCAAGCGCAAAAATGCATAAAATATATTTACAATATTCATTTGACAACCGCCGATGGATGGATGAATCACTAGAATCGAAAGATAACTTCTGTCCTCCGGGGGGTGGGAATTTCCCCACGAACTGATCATAAGCCCACTCCCATTCCGTGCCAGTGTGTGGGTGCGGATGCAGTGAATAATTGAATCGAATAAATTGTATATATACATTGCATATGTAAAGTTTAAACAAATTAAGGCCGTACGAAGATCGTAAACTGGAAACCCAGCAAGTGCCGAAAATCAGTGCTAAAGTGAAACTTCTTTCCACAAATGACAACCGTTCTTCCAAAGGCCATAAGAAATCAAAAACAAAGCCCCTCTAACCTTTTGTCGGTCGTCTTTTGTGGCTCAACCATAATAAAACTCTCACAGATGATCGTTTATTGGAATGTTGAAATTCTTACCTATTTAAATGACAGACTGGGCAACATACACAGCTCAATTAACGCGGCTTAAAGTGCTTCAGGCGGCATAATTCCCTGGGTTTTTGAAGTGGAGAGACCGAAAACCATAAAGCCATGGATAATAAAAACCCATAGTAAACCCTTTCACTTGTTTATAAACAGAACTTAAAGTTTTTCAAGTTAAAGTACCATTATTGGTAGTAAAATTTTAATAGTTGGCAAATTCTTACCTATTTTTCTTTAATAACTTAATTATAGAGTATAACCTTTCACTTTAAAAACCACAAAAACCTATAGATTTGACCCATTGTTGCCTTGTCCAATGATAAAACCATTAAATGGTTCATGGCACCTTTAAATTAATGGCTTCTTTTTAACATAATGTGCTGCCAATTTGAGGCTTTTATAAGTTGTATAGGGGTTTCATTCTTGGTTATATGAGGCCCCTTCACTTCAAAGACCAGAGAATTCAAGGATTTGATTAATGGTTTCGTTGCGTAACTTATAATTATGAAAGATACAAAGTTCTTACTTTGTTCCAATAACAAACTAAGCTACCAACAAGTCAATTAAAGGCAGTTCCCCTTGCTGGATGCTGTGTGTCGATGCACAAAAGCCAAAATAAACGGAACCCTTTCACTTTAAACTCCACAGAACCCCCCAAAAGATCCACCGAAAACGAGTTTTGTGCCAAAGAGCAGAGCGGAGCAGCCATATTCCATATCGAATAACCGACCAATAAGTGTTACTTGTTACTTGGCACATCCAACTAGCACCGTTGCAGTGGCCTATATTCAAAATAGATCAGAGATCGGCGGCGCAGCTGCAGCAGGAGAGGATCCGATCGGAGTGAGAGGAGATGCTGTGTCTGTGCCTGTGCCATGTGAGAACTTAGTCCGCGGCAAAGAGCAAAACTAGTTTCCCATTTGCGCGCCTATGCTAAGTAATAATAATAAATAAGCCAAGTCGTTGTTCGTTGTTCGCCGTTCGAGAAGTGACCTAAAAATACTGGTTTTGCGTGAGAACGTGCAGCTTCAGCTCATCTCTACCAATGGCCACAGCCGGAGCCACAGCGGCCGTGGTGGTAAAGCGGCCCGGACCGCCAGTACCGCCCAGGCCCAAGGCAGCTAGTAATCCCTCGGCCACACCGCCCATCATCCAGAAGAAGCCCACCTTTGTCAGCCAACTGAGTGCGGTGGGTCGCACTCTGGTCTACAAGTCACCGACGGTTAATCTGCCCAAGAAACAGGCCCAAACCCAGACGCCAACCACAGCGGTGCCGGCACCAACCCCCCCAGTGAAGCCACTGAAGCTTCGCAAGGCGCCCGATGTTCCAACGGCCAAGCCCCGCGAAAGTGTCACCACATCGGTGGTGACGGTGAATCGCCACAATTCGATCAGCGTGATCGGGGGCTCCCCGCAGACCACTCCCCGCAAGGAGACCCGCCTGAGCCTCGGCAAGGTGGACTTTGAACGGGCAGGCCTACAGCCAGCAACTCAACCTCTTCCCAGGCCCCGGAAAATTGTCCAGTTACCCGTGGCCACCATGGATGTGGAGGATATACCAAAGGTAACCTCCACTCCATCCACTGGTCTGTTCAGAAGATCAAAAACCACGCTGGACAGCTACCAAAAGGATACATCTGCAGCAGCCTCGCCAAACGGAGGAGGATTCCTGGGAGGCCGGACTGTGGAGATTAAAAACAATCTAAAGAACGCCGCCGAGCGTCTCTTCTCCGAAATCATCATCAATCAGGGCCAGAAACAGGCGGCCGCCGATACCACGATCATCACCAAACACGAGGCCCTGAAACAGGAGTCCGATGTCCTGACCATCCAGTCTACAGGGAACTGCATGCGAATCAACATCAACTCCGGATCGGAATATGGTGACCCCAAGCCGAGCTACACCAGCACCATGAAGAGCTCGATCAGTGTGGGAAACACCCCGGAAAAGAAGCAAGCCTTCCATGAAATGCTCATCTCTGAGCTGGCCGCCATGCGGAATAAGTCCTGTTCGCTGGAGCAGCTGCCCACCAAGTCCATGTCACCACCAACCACGTCGACACCCAAGAAGATAGCATCGCGTATTCGCTACAACTCCATTGACGATGCCGATACCGAGGATGTGGATGCGGATAATGTGGAAGATGCCGACGGAGATGTGGATGAGGAGGACACTTTGACCTACTCGGTCAACAAATCTCTGAAAGAGAACATAGGAAAGGAGGGCTCCTCCTCGAGGAAGCGATGTCCCTCGGGCTGCTCCACAGACTCTTCCCCGTACGGCACCGAGAGATCCCAACGCATCCGAACATCGGATTGGATCGAGGTGGGTGACAATGGCACTGCGGTGACTTTGACCAGCTGTCACATTTCTCTGGAGGATTCGGGCATGGAGGACGAGGAGCGACTGGACGACATGTCCTCGGGCGTTGGCGATAGTTGGGACAGTGTTAAGGAGGCGGAGACCGAGAAGCGTTCGCGCAGTGCAAAACGGTGAGTTTTCTGAATAATTTAATAAATAATTTATACATTAAAAGTTAATAGTGAATATTTAACAACATATACAAAAATACAAATATTTATGTTAATTATATACTCACCTAAAAATTTCGCTGAATGGAACTTTTTGTTTTAGTTTTTTTAACATTCGAAAGTGTGTTGAAATTTAATTTGTTTTTAAATAAGCTTAAGTTCAATCTTTTTGAATAGGAAATTATGGTAAATTAAGATATTTATTAGGATTTTAGTGCTAATGACAGATATCCTATAAATTTGCAAAGATTTATCGTTTAAACTTTAAAGCTATTCCCGTTGGTAGGTAAGGGGCTTTATGGCACTGCCGCGCTTCATTTCTATGAGCGAATTTATAATGATTTATGAAAAGCAGCTAATATTCATAAAAAAATCATAGTTTATTAAGTGCTAATGAATATTGAATAACAGTTTTGCGAAAAGAAAAGCGATTTGTGGAAGTCTTACAAAAACAAAGGGTTTGGTTTAGGAGAGATCGTTTTGTAGAGCTTGAAGATATATTTCATATGAAGATATATATATGAAGAAACGCAGGTCAATTTAAACTTATTTTATATTAAAATTAATACAATCTTATAAATATTTTATTTTTTAAAAAGAAAGCAAAGTTTAATAAATATTTTAAAATATATTATTTTGATCTCCAAATTATCCATGAATTAAGATATATATTCATTTTTTTTAAGATCAATTTTAATAAATATAAATATTATACAATCAATTTGATAAAGATAATATTTCAGAAAATCATTTAAATTATTTATATTTATATTTGTATCCCAAAATATTTTGGTTTTGTTGATGATCTTGGACTGAACTTTAAAGCCATGATAATTAAGCTGCCGCCACAATTATTTCACCGAGTTTCGCTGGGCTCCATTGACATGGTTTTGATTCGATCGGCCGTGCGCATCCCACGGAATCTCCGAGCTCGGAGCTCGGAGTACCTCTCGAGCCCGATCTCCATCCCGGACTACCATTGTGATGGTACTTTCCGAGTGAGATCTCACCGAGGCGGGCGGGTTAACATTAATTCAATGTGCTGACATCATTTCGAATGTGGTTTGTTGCACGTTGCACACACCGTACTCCATACATTGCATGTGCGGGCACGGGTTCGATTGCAGTGGCCACAAAAAAATACAAAAACAAAAACAAAAAAAAAAGTTTGCGATATTAACAATTTGGGTTTCTCGGATCCGTTCGTGTGTAGTTTGTATTTTAACAGCAGAATCGAAGTAACCAACAGGAAAAAACCCGTTTTGAGTCGCTCTTTTACGTCTCCAAAGATTCGTATTTTAGCGGCAATACTACACACATTGTGTTTGTATTTTGATTAACATATAAATACTTATATGTATTCCGTTGCGGTACGTGTTTGTCGCGTCGAAAAGTGATTATCGTGACTCACTTGGCTTGGCATTTGCGCCATCGCACACACGACCAAGATACTTCATATATCGTGCACATACTATATGTATGTACTATATATTCAAATATTTGCTTATTCACACGAAGCTATATCTTTCATTGGCAAACCATAAGAATTGTGAAGTTGAGAAGTCGAAAGAAGTGTACTTTACACAGGCAATTGTCATAGGATTGTAACTAAAGTTAGAAAGTTAAATTCCAAACTTTGTTTTTTTTTTTAAACTCCTCAAATTCTTTCTGATAATTATTTATACTATAAAAAAGTTATACTAACTTTCTTACCGCGTACTTGCAGTTAATCTCAATTAACTCAAACTTTCTAGAGGTCACAGACATTAACCTTTTCTTTTTTTGTAGATTAAATTGTTGAAGTAGTTAATATTTTATGGTGAATAAGAAGCCATGAAGGTCTGCTTTTATCAAAAGATATATAAACAAATTCGCACATTCCATGCAGCAATAAAAAATAATAATAATTGCGATGAAAACAACACGGACTGGCTCGCATTATAGACCGATAATAATGTGTTTTACTTGGCCAATTACTCACACAATCCCCCATTTCCTACAACTGCGAAATTCAAATGGCAAATTGCATCTTTCAAATGCCTGAACGTGTGGATTGGCTCTTATGCATATGAAGTGATTCACAGATAAGTCACATAAACTATATATAGGTGTGTGTGTGGATATATCTATGGCTAACTGTTGCAACTCCGAGGCAAGCGTTATAAAATAAATTCAATCAGTGCGGCGGCGAAAGCAGCAGTTGCAGCAATCCCATATTGCACTTGGATCGGGGCCCCAGTTATGGCTCCTTCGATTTCAATTTGCATAATGGATGCCGTTATCAAGAATGGTTTACCGTTTCCTCATTCTTTCCTATGCCTACTATATATGGTCTTCCAGAACGTGGAGAATTCTCGGGACTTTACAAGCCATTGAAGTTCCTGGTCTTTGTTTAGAAGTTCTATGAAATATAATAAACTGCTCCCTCTGTCAATGACACAGTTTCAGTTTCATAGAAGTCGCTTAATTATTGTTATATCGCTTTGTGCAATACAATAATTTCTTTGAAAGCTAATTGTTATTTGCAAGACATTAATGAAAGCGAAAAGGAATGTGTTTGTATGTGGTAATATCTTAAATAACAACAACGACACCGACGACGACGGCAACTTGATTATTGCCTTGCATTGCTCGCTGTCAGCAATCATTTTCCACCAACATTTTCTGGGAAATGACTGCTGGCCAGGTAAAGAAAAGCCAATCACTAAATGCATGTTCGGATTTACATATCATAAAAATTCGGGCTAAATGTAAGCCGCTTTGAGTCCCAAATAATAGAAACTGTAAGTTTCACCGAGATACACATATAGTATATCTGTAACCGGCTTTTCATTGGGTCTTGTACTGTGTGTATATTGATTAACTCTCTTCATCTTATTAAAAACCACAAATAAAAGGCTTTCTCTGCAGTTTCTCTAAGTTATATAGTTCAAACGTGTTGAATGTAAATTAGTTTTTAACTAATCTGGGTCTGCCATTTTACTTATTTCTTGTTCGGTCGAGTTGTTTAATTGTGTAATTATTGATTGACTGCGTTTAATAAATGTTTTTACGCAATTGTCCGCATTTATAGGAAATTACCAGCCAGGTGTGACAAGCTTACTGGAATTTATGATCACTTTTTTAGTTTTAGTTAGCTAGAGATATGGGTTTTGAGGTCACAGGTCATGTCAGAGGCTATTTTCCTAGCAGCAATTACAAGCCTCAGTTTTCTCTTCGCTGAAAGGGTAATGCCACATATTTGGAACTGCACAAAACCACAAAGACTGACAGCCTTTGGTCTCAACATATATGAGTTCCAACTACTAGTAGGCACACAGAAGAAACACCTTCAAGTGCGATTAAAATCATGGCCGGTCCGGAGGCCTGATGGCTGTCAGCCAGAAAGCCAGCCAGCCAGAGCCTGAAGTCAGGTGAGATGCCAGCCTAAAGCTGGCTGACTTCAGGTGCTGGAGAGCTGTAAGTCTGGTGTTTGCCAAAGATATACTCGCATTCAAGTCGGGTTTGTCGAGGCTGTTACGAGTGTGAGAACCGTTAAAGTACGACAAAGTGACGCCGCAAAAGCTCTTCTGACTGCCAGACTTTCAGGTGGATTTCTGCGTAATATGCCTCTGTTTCAGTTGCCCCTGTCGAGCGGCTAAATATCTCGAGATGATGCGACAGATATTTCGGGTTCAACTACCTCGTGCTGTTCTTTTGAGCGGTAAAAGCCACTAACATACCGAAATATCAGGTCAATGAGATCACCAACCAGAAAGCCAAACAAATAAACTGAGAAACGAAACCACTGCTTCTTCCCAGCAAGATGGTGTTAATTAATCGAATGATTAGTGATTGTACCAGAAATAAATGTTGGGAAGAGTGTTACTAGTTTACAAGGTGAGGAGTACGGACCACACAATTCCCCAGTTGATTTAGAGACACCTAACTTGGCCAAAAAAGTAACCGAAAATGTAACCAAAAGACACTATAAACTTGATTTTAGCGGAAAACCAACATGCGGAAAAGCAGCCTGAACCTGGAAGCCAAATGTGGATGAAGTTTTTGGACTCTACTCCACTTTACACACGAGTGTGGGCCGCTTTGGCTGCTGACTTGGCTTACATAAACACAAAAAACTTTGAACAAACACACAAGTATGCTCATATATATATTTGTGCAACCTCTTGAATTTTTCTTTAAAAGCGATTTTACACTAAAAGCTTAGGAGTATATCTTAGGAGATAATATCTCACAAATTACTTACTTTGACTTGTTGCCAAACACAAAACTTGGAGGAGTAATTGCTCTAGAGGATTAAGTATTATCAGAAAATGTGGGATAATAAATGTGGTTAATAAATCTAACTAAACACATTTCTGATATTAAAAAAAAAAACAGTGAAGAAGTAATTTTCGACCCTATAAAACATGTGTTATTAGCATCCTTTCTTGTTTTAGAAATTATGTGTTTTTAATGTTGGCCATGTTAGGTTCAATTCTCACTTAAAATGTCCCTCGGCCTGCACTTGTCTTACCTACTTTTTTTTTGTTTGTTATGTCTGGCCAAAAATAGTAGTTTTAGCCAGATCTGTATCTCAGGTGCGCGCTGGTATTGCCCAAGTTTCCTGTTCCGTTCGTTGGTCAAGTGGACGGATTTATGCGTTCGTTGTTGCCAAGCTACACACTCGACATTTTACTTTCACATATGGCAAACTTTATTATATTATTAATATTATTTATATTTTATATTTATAACATAACTTTTACCCAATAAATCCTCACTTGACTCCACATATAATAATATAATTATTTATGCCCCAGAGCTCTTTTATCATTTGTTTTATTTCCGAAATGAGATCGATGGCGTGTCGCGCATATATCTTTTTATTGGGTATTCTCGAAAATGTCCCGCTCAGATTGCGGTGCTTTCGCTTTTGAGAGCTGCAAACAAAGTCTCAGCAGTGGATTTTCTATATCTAC